CCCCCGCCCAAAGGGCAGGAAGTCAGCTGAGGTCATAAGCTGATCATCATAAGCATCATAATTTCTGATAAGCAACATCATCAGTTAGCTTGATTCACAGCTCCTCCTGTTATGTAATATACAGTCAAAGGGGAACTCAAATGGGCAAGCTCAGTGAACTGTATTAGTGGTAGCAGTATTGAAGTACATTGCCTAATGTCTAATACCCATAATCACGACCAAAAATTATGAGACCTGTGTTCCCTCCCCCACGTTCTTCTGTCATCGACTCACTGGGTATATAATCTTTGCCTTTATTCCTCCATCCATAACATTGGGATAAATATGCTTGCCTACATTTCTGAAGTGCTTTGAGACCTGAGGCCTTGTCCACATAGAGAAGGAAAATAAAAACCAAAAACAATGTAACTAAGATAGATTTAAAAAAATAAAGATTTCATGTAAACCCTTGTGATGGCACATGGATATGGCTGAAAACTGGGTTACATTAGTTACATTTCCATTAATACCAAATCAAATTAAAATTATATTAACCATATTCAATGAGCTGTTCACAGTTTTAAGTTATAGTGTTAGTTAACCGGTGCAACTTTGTGTTTTGAATGTTTGTGTTTTTATTAGACTAATGGATGAAAGGTATTACATAAGTACTGACGGCTGTTGTTATTTTTCTTTATTTGTAGCCTGATTCTGATATTCTTGTTCATGTTGGATAGCACCTTGTTTTACAGCAGTCTCATTGAAATACATTCCTACAGGGGTAAGATGCTACTTGACAAGAATTGGGATATTCTAATTTTGGCTTCTCCTAAAACCATGATTATTAATGAGTCTATGGAATGAGAAAATATCCCATAGGATAGGTAGTGCAGAGATGGATCCCAAAAACTCACATTCCAGGCAGACAGTGGTTATAGTAAATACTGTCTAGAACATCATAAAAATGAAGTGGTGATTGTTCTAGTTGGAAACCTGAAAGATTTTGAGGGGGTTTTAAGATGGGGAGGACACTTGGCAAAAATTAGCTAAAGGCTCTTTCAAGGACTGTGGGCACTATGAAAGAGCTCCAAGTCAGGAGTTTGTGAAGAAAACAAAGAGAGTGCTGGAAAGAAAGCAGTCCTTTTCAAGGCAGGTTTGCTTTCTAAGGCCATGGGGAGAATTGTTCTTCACAGATTTTCAGGGGTCTAACTGTTTTGTAGCAATATTGGTAACAAGATAAAATTAGCAGAATGTGATATTACGGGCTCATAAGTTCGCTAAGATTGTAAGCAGCACAAATTAATGGTTCTAAAGCCATGTGAAGATGAAAAGCACAGTTGGAAGTACTCAGGTTTGTTACAATTTATTCTTCCCTGGCAATCCAGTTTGAAAAAAGCAAATCAGGTGTATTTTAGACTTATTTTAATTTTCTTGCACAAAACTTCTCTAATTAACAAAAATATCCTTTACAAATTCTAGTTAGCTTTGTTTCGTTGACGGTAATAATAACAGTGACTTTGCTAAAATTAGTTTTTCTTTACAGCAGGGAACTGGGAGAGGACAGAAGACAAGAAATGGAAAAAACTGTTATTACAGCCCTTACCAGCTTGAGTGTATTGTGATGGACTAGACCCTTGATAACATTGAGAGGGCTTTTAGAGAAAAAGTAAGGAAGTCTTTCATGTACCTGAACACTTTGATATATGGAAAAGATAAGCCAGAGGTTACAGAGAAGATCACATATAATTTTGATGTTGAATCTGTCAATTAATTAAACAAATATCATATTTACAAGAATATAAGATGGCCCTGATTATAAGATGATCCCCCCAATAATTAATTTGATATATGGAACATTTATAAATATGTATTAATTTTCCAGGTATAGAATCTAAGTATTGGAGGTTTGTCTCTCTCCCACTGCTGCAGCAGGGAATATAAATCTAGGAATGTCAAGTAGCCCCCTTGCATCCTGCTTTACCCCAGCATCTTCCCCCTAAAGCCTGTTCCCCCCCTCCTTACTGTCAGACCCTGCTCTCCTTGAGCACATGGAAGTGAAGATGAAATCTGAAAACACTGACCTTGAAATTAAATATAGTTGTAGTTATTTGTCTATAGAATCATAGAAAATTTGGGTTGGAAGAAACCTCAGGAGGTCATCTAGTTCAACCCCCTGCTCAAAGCAGGACCATCCCCAACTAGATCATCCTAGCCAAGGCTTTGTCTAGCCAGGTCTTAAACATCTCCAGTGATGGAGAGTCCACAACCTCTCTGGGTAACCTGTTCCAGTGTTTTACAACCCTCCTAGTGAAAAAACTCTTCTTAATATCTGCCTATAAACTTAGTTCATCTAGAATTGATGCATTTAATCTCTTCTGAACCTGTTGTAAGTTTTAGAACAGGTACTCCATAACAGCACTTTCAAGCAGCACTTTGGCACCTACTTACATATATGTAACAGGCGCTACTGGGAGGGCCGATTTTCCCTTGGCCCGCCTGCGTGTTTCTTGGCCAGCTGCCCACCTTCTCTACTGCCATGCCTTGTTGTTAATTAATTAATGATCTTAATTAGGTGGGAGGCTGCCCATTTTTCCACCCCGATGCCAGGGGGCACTATCTGTGGCTCTGTTCCTCCCCTACACCGCAGCCCAAGCCTCGCAGATGGTATTTCTAAATTCCACTTTATGTTGGGGTCTCAGCTGCTGTGGGCTTACTCCACTTCTCTCTAGCTAGGCCTGTCAGCCACAAAAAAACCCCCAAACCCAACTCACTAATTGGCACTTGACGCCAAGGCTCTAGCTCTCAAAACCCACTTGGGCTTCTGTGCCCTCTCTGGTGCGGGGGTCTGCTTACCCCGAATACTGTGCCCCCTCTGGCGCTGGGGTCTACTCACCCCTTAATACTGCACCTTCTCTGGCACCGGGGTCTGCTCATCCCAGAATACCATGCCCTCTCTGGCTCTGGGTCCTGCTCACCCCTGCATACTGCACCCTCTCTGGCGCTGGGGTCCCCATGCTGCAGTGGGCCCCCAAATGAGGCCTCCTCCTTCCCCAAATAGCCTCACCCAAACCACCGGTTTATTAACATAAAAATGATAATAAAAAAAAATAGGAGAGGCAACATGCCTGCTTATTTTAGGTGATCATGTCTCTGGCGTACAGCGAGGTGTACTCTCCTGGATGAGGCTGTGGCCACGGTACCATGGTCATCAGGCGCCCCCTTCTCTGCTGCCCCTCTGGTTTTCTCCACTCGTTGTTTATAGGGTTTTGGCCTTCCTCTTCCTGTCACCTCACTGGCTGACAGGCCTGGGCCTTAACACCTACCTGACTGGCCGGCTGTGACCAGAAAGTTTTAGATTTAAAGGGGCCACCCTGTCTCTTAGTAACAGGGTTAGGGTTCCCTGTTACAATATAATATGAACTATGCATGATATTAACCGGAAGCCAAAGGGCTCATGATTTACCATATGGTTCATTGGACTGGCCCCAGAAGAGTCAACAGCTTTTCCAGCCATGGTGATCCCACAGCTCAGCACTGCTCAGTATGTGTGTACTCCAGATACCCACCGCAAAGGATCTATATGCTAATTAGCTCCCGCACTCATGACTGGAACAGAAGTGGCACATGTTGGGAGGCTTATCCTAGAGGTTAAGATGAGAATACGCTTGGAAGAATGAGTCATGTTCTTGTCAAGAGGCAAGGCTTTTGGTGGATGATATCTTTTATTGGACCAATTACACGGTTGAGATAGATGAACTTTCAAATGCAATGCATTCTCCTTCAGGTGATCTGAAGAAGGTACTCTACATCCTTCTCCATTTGTGAGCTCTTCATTTGTGGTCCAGTAAAAGTTCTCTCTCACACAAATTCTTGCCTCTCACATATTCCGTGGACCAGCACAGCTACAACATTAATTCAACTTCTTAATAGGCTGATCTTCCCAAAAGAGTAGGGTGACAGGATACGGAAACTCCAACTGCTGCCGCCATATATGTACTTTACCAGTTTTGCCAGTGGTGTTCAAAGAGATCCTGGCCTCATACTTTCAGACTGTCCTTCTTCTCTACAAAGACTACAGCAAAAGGAAAGGGCTTAGATATTGCATTATTGTTGCATGTTATAGTATGAATTTAACTACAAGGATGCATAATTATGCTTCTTAGCCTTGAAATGACACGGGAACTCCTGTGAGCTGAGGATGAGGGCACACACAAAGTCTGATTCTGAGGTCAAAGTGGGACCTTCCCAGCATAATATGCTGAGGCTTGAATAGGGGTTGAATGCATGTCATCACTTCATAAGACCTGTCAATCCCTGGCTCTTTATTTGGGCTTCCTAAGGCCTATCATGTTGCAGTAATTGGGTTAGAAACACATGAGATAAAGGAGGAGCTGAACAACAAATTCTCCTATTCAACACAGGGCTAGCTGAACTTTTGTAAAAAAAAAAGAAAAAGCTAGCCTCCTATATTTTTATGAGTCTTACCAACATTTTCAATAAACCAGCTTTCATGCCATTTACGAGTTGCAGAAGCAAAAGTTTTTCTAACAGCCTATAAATAAAAAGAAAAAATAACTTAAAAAATGTGTAATATGTTTGTAGAACAGCTATATTAATTATTCTATTTCTTTTGATATTTTCTACAGCATTTATTGTGTTAATAACTCTTGTTAATAGAAAGGACCTTGATATGGGGTTGGCTTTACAAAAATATAAAGGAAAACATTTCAAGCAGGCTGATCGATTAAGTATTTTCAGCTCTCAATTTTGAGGTAGAGTTATTATAAGTGTTATGTTTCTCTGAGAAACTTGTCTGCCTTGTCACTTGAGTCTGTGTACTTGGGAATACTTTTTGTAGTTAGCTTATTAATTAAGCATGTGATAGGCAAAGCATTCCATGACAACTTATTTGATCAGCTTACAGACAAAGCATTTGAAAAGTTCATGTAAAAATACATTATTGTTTTAAAAATGTCATGGGCTTGATTTTTCAGAACAAAACACTATAAATGGTCTTACAGCTGCACTCAGCCTATCAGGACCTTGAAAAAGCCTTTAGAGCATTTGAAGTCAGTCAGAGTGGATTTGTGTCCTTGGATTACTTAAAGTCAATCATAAATGGTTTTATCTTTCCATTACCAAATTAAACTTTTCAAGAGCTAATGAGTAGGTAAGAATCACATTGTTTTCTTTAGGGACCTTTCTTAGCACTGCAGCCTCATAACCTTATTATTGTTTTTTGTGTGTCTGCTATCATTAATTCACCTCATTTACACCTGTGTTGCAGTGCATATGGAACAGTATATAAAAACCTGAGATAACTAGATAGAAAACCATGTTTTTGGAAGATAGGCACAATACAGTAGCCTATCCATTAAGGCAGCAGTAACTGATAACTGCCTTATATCTACTGGTTTCATAGTTTGTAGGCTCGGAAGGGACCTGAGCAGATCATCAAGTCTGACCCCCTGCCTTGGCAGAAAAAAGTACTGGGATCAAATGACCCCAGCAAGGTGTTCATCTAGCCTCCTCTTAAAGACCTCCAGGGTAGGAGCCAGCATCACTTCGCTTGGAAGTTGGTTCCAGATCCTAGCCGCCCTGACTGTGAAGTAGTGCCTCCTGATGTCTGGTCTGAATCTACTATCTGCCAGCTTGTGATCATTATTTCTTGTCACTCCTGGTAGTGCTCGGGGGAACAGGGATTCCCCCAAT